TAACAATGAATATGGGTTAGAAATCTAATAACTCAATCCCTATGTCTTGTTTCTCATGAGTTATGAGAAGGAATGGCAGTCTATCATAAAGGCTAACTAATTCCTCATTAAAAATGCACATAAAACTTGGTTTAAATCAGTCCTTCACAACTTGGAGCTATCTTAGAAATTGCTGAGATGTCAGCAACCAACCCCAAATGAATGTATTTCTTTCTGTTACTGATGGAGGACACTGATCACTGGGCTCCGAGGTCCTAAGATAGGATAAGGTAGGATGTTGTTGTTGGTAAGTGCTGGTGAGCTGGCTCTGACTTACAGCAACCTTGTATAGGGTCTCCAAGAAGCAGCTGGTATATTTGAACTGCTGACCTTGTGGTTCAAACAGAACTTGTGGTATAGTGCATTACCCTGCAGAGCCACACAATGTGCATAAATGATCTTAGAAGACTTGTGACCTTATAGTTTTGATAGCAATTTATAATTCATTACATAAATCAGAGAAATATGGAAGTCAAAATACTCTATTTACAGAGTAGTCATTCTAGTCACTGCTTTCTAAAATGGCACCTTCCGGGGGTGGGGGTGGGGAATAGTCCATAAAGATTATTACTTGCAAGAAAAAAAAAAAAAGAAAGAAAACATTATTACTTGTGGAATGCATATGGGTAAATACTGTAGAAAATTAAAATTATGGATCTAGTTACCATCTAGTTGATTCTATCGCATGGTGATCCCATGTGCTTCAGAGTAGAACTGTACATAATGCTTTCTAGGGTGTGACATTTTAGAAGGTGATCACCAGGCCTTTCTTCCAAGGTGTATCTGGTGAATCTAGTACTAGTTTGTACCACCAAGGGACATCTAAAATTATGGATCAAAAAAACCAAACTGGTTCCATCGAGCAGCTTCTGACTCATTGAGACTGTATGTTACCAAATAGCACTGGTTTATAGGATTTTGTTGGCTGTAATTGCCAAGTTTTCTTCTATGGTGCTGCTGGTGATTTTGAACTGCAAACCTTTAGACTAGCTGATGAATGCAAGCTGATTGTGCCACCCAGGGACCTTAAAATTATATAAAGCCTATAAAATTGAACATTTGCTTTAAAACACATACATGAACCAGTAAGTTCCACTTAAGTGGGGCTGTAAATCATTTGATCTGGGGACAACTTGCACAATTAAAAAAAAAATGAAAATGTCACCACTCAGTTTGCTACAATTCTAGGGGTCACAGTGGCTGCGTCCCTTCTCTACACTGGAACCATTTGCATTTCCCTAGGTCATTCTTTTTGGGCAGGAAATAGCCTCTCATACTCTGTAGAGGTCAGCAACAGAGCTCTGAGTTTAAAAAACTGTTTTAAACAATCTTTAAAGAGGATGCGAGATGACTGGAACATAAGGCTAGATTGCCCCATCAAGTACCAAATGTCTGAATTCCTCCTCCACTGAGGAGTTCTGTTTGGCTGACAAGTGAATTTTCCTACTTAGGAGAGGAAAGGACGGCGATGCACAAACGGAACAGATAGCAAATCTGCAGCACAACACGGGGAACCCAGGAGGCATTATCATGGAAAGGGAAAGACTGGTCCTCCTAGTTATTCTCACTCTAAGGAGAAGATCTCACAAACATGTGTCACTACTCAGGACAATGATGTTGGAAGTGACAATGAGAACAATTATTAGCAAAAGACGAGAGTGACAGGGCTGCAATGGAGCCTCTAGATCTGAAAAGGACTGGGTTGTGCGCTATACCCAGAGTAGATTCAACAGTGGCCAGTTTAGCTTCTTTGACGATGAACGACATATATTCCTCTAGCACCTTCAATTCCTCGGAAGCTGGTGGGAGTGGGCGTGTTCCCAGACACTGTCCAGCCAGTCCTCCTTTTATTGTCTGGTGGGATGGCCGTTAGACACACTGCTCATCATCTCTCTCCCAGGACTCACTCCACTGAAACTAGCCAAAGAAGAAGCTTTATTTAATTCTGTGGGAGTACTTGAATTTATGCCCTATTAAAGTTCCCCTTTGAAAATTACAAGCTGAAGCCACATCTAACAGTGATGACGTTCTCTGGATCCCATGGACACCCTAAAAATGGAAAATTCATTTCATGGTCACAGAACCAATAAAAATATGACTTCATATGAAATGCCCTTTCTCTTTTCTGTTTTTTTGGTAAGTAAATGAAATGACTTCAGGTGTTTGTAAGAAAATCTTCATGTTTATAGCATTTTATAAACAGTACACATGCTCTGCAAAGTTTCTTACATCCTAAGAAATTAAAGTTTAGAATGAGGGCCAATGTCTTTTCCTCTCCTGTAAGATTTGCTTTTAGTTTCAAATTCAACTCTTGCATTTCCCCTCTCCCTGCACCAAGTGGTAGGGTCAAAATCAGACTCTTAATTCTTAGGCATCTTTCCTTGACCAGAGAATGAGAAGCGATACTTGCTTCCTACCTCTGGGTTTGGTTAGAGGAATGACCTGTGGGTGTGACCATCCTGGGTGAGTCAGTCAGTCAACCAACAGGAGTTCCTTCTAGGTGTCAGGTAGGAAAAGCTGATGTGGTCTCCTTCCTATTGAAGACCAGGGTCCTAACCAAGTAATATCAAATGTATGACTGAGCTGAGACCACCTAAAATTGCCTCAACTCCTTGCTATGAAAAACAACCCCTCACTTTTTTACTGGCTTTTTGATGACTTCCTCAGGGAACTGATATGAATACAACAGCTAAGGAATCCAATTCCACCAAGACTGGCCCCAACTTTTCCCCAGCACATCTAGTCACTTCCAGATCCCTGGAAGGTCTGTAAGGAGCAGGGCAAAGTCTTACAGCAGGTTTCTATGCCCTGGAGCAAACAGGTAGAATCTTGGGTAGATTTTACAGTCATGTGGACTCTTTACAGACAGCTAAGTATCATGACTGTTCTTCTAAACTCTGCTTCCCCATATTCGGGGCTGACTGTGATCTAGCTCCATACTTGGAGCCACCCGGCCTTTTTCAATGAACCCAACAGAACATATGTAAAGCTTAAGTGTTTAAAGCTGTCCCAGCGTCTAGCTCTTTACTCACGTAATGTTGGGTGTCTGCATACTCTTCTTTCTCATCCCTCTGCTCTTCCAATTCTTGAATATTTTCTAACCCTTATTTAAAATGTCACAGTCTCCACAAAGGCTTCTGTTATCCACCCCTCAACAAGCAGCATCTCTTTCTCTCCTGAATTCCCACACACAGTGTATATCTACATCTTACTTATATCATTCACTACCTTTTAACTTATCTCTCATCATTTAGACATCCCAAAAGTACTAAAACTTAAGAGGTCAGTTCTTACTGATGGTTGTATTTCTAGCCTCCAGCCCAGAAACTCCATGGCTTTTGGTCACCTTTATACATCCGAAAAGTACTAAAGCTTAGAGTTCAGGTCTTACTGGTGGTTCATATTTCTAGACTCCAGCCCAGTAACTCCATGGCTTTGAAACTGTGTTCTTCACACCCCAGAGTTCTACAGAGGTATGGGGAGGGAAGGAAAGAGGGAGAAAAGAGAGCTAAAGGGAGAGGAGGGCGAGGGAGAGTGGGGGATAATCAAGATCTCCTTCCCAACATTTTGTGCTTCAGTCAGATTAGTTTTAATCTTAACTCTTTATATTGGAATTTATATAAATGTTCACATATTTCTTAAAGGGCTTTCCTGGGGAAAGAAAAAAAGGAAATCACTGCAGTAAATATTGTCAGATAAATGAACAAAATTCTATCCAGTGCCTCTAGCACTTTCTTCCTTAAAGATAAATGAAATCCAATGATCAAACATGAGTATCAAAAGTTTTGAATGTTTTGAATGGCTGTCAATTAAAGAACATGGCCAAAGCAGAGGGCCCCATTTCTGTCTTGTGTCTTCACATTAAAATTTGATAGAAGCCTCCTTAACCTCCGATTGAGTTATGTTTACAGAATTAAAAGAACACTACCCGGACTCCTGTGGGGAGTGTGTGTACATGTGCGTGTGCCATCATGCTTTGCTAGCAATGTAATTTCAGGGACACAGAGAGGGTTACAAGTAATTCTGATACCTCTTGCTACCATTCTCTCCCACCTTCTGACCTGCCTCAGTCTCTTCCATCATTTTAAACGGCATTAGCATCCACTCTGTTGCTCACACTAAATACCTAGTGGTGGTGGCGCAGAATCAGTTCCGACTCATAGTAACCCTGCATAGAGTTTGAGGCTGTAAATCTTTACAGAAGCAGAAAGCCTCATCTTTTTCCTGGGGAACGGCTGACAGTTTTGAACTGCTGAACTTGAGGTTAGCCACCTGACTCGTAACAACTACACTACCAGAGCTCCTTAAATATCTAGTTGTTGTTGTTGTTGTTAAGTGCCTTCGAGTCAGTTCTGACTCATAGCGACCCTTATAAGGGTTTTCAAGGAGTGGCTGGTGAGCTTGAACCACCGACCTTGCGGTTCAAACCAACTTTGCAGTTCAGCTCATTAACCCACAGCGCCACACCAGGACTCCTAAATATCTATTAGTTTACCTTAATTTCTCTCCTTTCTTTACTCCCCACACGAATTCATCAGTAGATGCTGTTGGATCTTCCTCTAAATATATTCTGTAGAGCTTATTCTTCTTTGATTTGATGTCTATGGCTACCAATTGCTATGTTCCAAAGCATCCTTATCTCCTATCTATTTTACTGCAACAGACTTCTATTTGATCCCTGGCTTCTACCCTCTCCTCTCCGTAATCCATTCTCTACACAACAGTAAAAGTAATGATTAAACCTCTCCTGTCAAATACTCCTCAGAGTGTTTCTCATAAAATGTACAATAAAACTTTTAACTAGTAAATATCATCTAGCTAGCCTTTCTATTTCACGCCAAAATTTGATGGTTCTGACACTCTTTAGCTGGGGCGTTTCCCTTTCTTTATGGAAACGGTGAATGACTGAGCAGACAAACATAAAAGACTGGCACATCACTCAAAAAATAGAAACCACTTACGGCTTCAGATTTGGGAGGCACTGGAGGTGGAGGTAGGGCGATATCTGAAGACTTCATTGCTGCTCCCAGAGCCCCAGGGGCAGGAAGAGGAGAAGTTACACATTTAGACCGGACAGAACTTCTGAAATGATCACATCTGCTCTTCTCGCTCAAGGATCGAGTGAGAGGCTGATGGCTGGTCTTGCTTTCATCCAGCCACAACTCCTCATAAGGAAGTTCCGACTTCCCAGGGATGCCTGTTGATTCTTCACTAGCTTCTGGGAAAAGGTAGTCGCTTCCGCTATCACCAGGGTCCTGGTAGGGCAGGATGTCATTAGGAAAGGGGGTCCACTCTCCCCCAAGGTCTCTGCAGCCGTGGAGGTTCACCTCGCTGTTTCCATGGAGATTGTTGCCATACACACACACTGAAAGTCGGTGGAAGGACTGGGTGAGCTCATCGCGGGCGTAGCTAAGGGAATTGGACACGTGGTTGTGGCCAGAGCACCGGCCCTTCTTGGGGCTCTTGCAATCCTCATTCCAGTCAGTTTTCACGTCACGGACAGCCCGTGAATACTCATCAATGTCAAATTGTTCTTGGCAGATTCCCAGCCAGTGATGGACCAGGGTTTCGGGCCATACTTCACCCTTCATGAGGTGTTCTGGGAGGCTAAACTTGGGAACAGTCAAGTGCAAAGGGAAGTGCATGGGGAGGATCTTGTTGTTCCGCAGAACACAGCAAACCACCACTGTCTTGGTCTGGATGTTGACAAATTTGTAACGGTGTCCCTCACGGATGAAGTGGAGATCATATGGGTTTCTCGGAGGGGGACTTGGCACGGTCACATTCACAGGTAGCCTGGTTTTCTCCACAATGTTGCGGATGGTGTGTTCACCCTCCTGCATCTGAAGCTCCAGGGGACTGCGGGTGCTAAACCTGCCCTTGCATTGGAATGGAAGGCTGATGCTTTCATTGGTCCGGTGGTTCATGCAAATGAGGCACGGCATTTTGCCTTTACCCAGTTTGCTGATAGAATTGAGCTTCCCGATCTTTTTGAATATCGTGTTGAGTCTTGACTTTTCCTTGAAAGTCTTTGCATATAGGATTTCTGCCTGCCCCATTAGAGTGAGTTCATCTCCGGTACAGAGGGTGATGTTGTAAACTTCGGTGTCTTCATTGCATTCACCTGAAGCCACCTACAATATGATAAATCCAATTTTAGGTTAATTTCCTTTAGTTTTTTTCACATGAGACATAAAGAGTTTAATAACATGCACATAGGAAAATACTGTGTTTTGTTTTCATACCAAATTAGGCTTCATTTCTTTTATAAGATTCATAGGGCTAATAATAAGCATTTTTTAAAACTGATATATATGTTTGGATTTTTAAAAACATATTATTTTTCCTGGAGACAAAAGTAATCTATATTCATTAACAAAAAATTGGGAAGTATAGAAGAAAAACATACAGCAAACAGCACCCATGACTCTGATTCAGAAATGCCGTTGCTGTTGAACTGGCTTCCAATTCACGGTTAGCCCATGCACAGTAGAACGACACGCTGTCTCATTCATTCCCATGATGGGTTGCCTATTGGACCATTGCAACCCACAGGGCTTTCACTGGCTGGTTTTCAGCAGTTTGCCAGGCCTTTCTTCCTAGTTGTCTGAGTCTGGAATCTCTGCTGACACCTGTTCAGCACTGTAGCAAACCCCGATGAATGGGAGCTGTGTGTGAAGAGCATTGGCTGGGAATCAAACTCAGGTCTCCTGCCTGGAAAGGAACAACAGTAACACTGGGCCACTACTGTTCATGACTCAGAGACAACCATGGCTAACCATTGAGTCAGTTCTGACTCACAGCAACCCTCTCTAGGGTTTCTGAGGAGTGGCTGGTGGGTTTGAACTGCTGACCTTGCTATTAGTATTGGCAGTCTTGTGCTTATCCTACAGCACCACACCAAGATTTCATGTTAGTGCTAGTGGTAATGTGCCGTGAAGTCGGTTCTGACTCATAGTGATCCTGTACAGGGTTTCTGAGGCTGTAAATCGTTATGAGAGCATAAAGCTTCATCTTTATCCAGTGGTTGTTTTGAACTGCTGTCCTTGAGGTTAGCAGCCCGACTCATAACCACTATGCTACCAGAGTGCCTCTAAGACTCCACAGAACACTTTATTCTATAGATAATTTTGGGGGGAGATTAATATTATCCTTTTTTTTTTCCAGTTCTAAATAATGCTTTCATGAACACCACTATAGAAAGTCCCTTATTTCTGTTTTGCTAATTTTACTATAGAAAACAAAGGATTGAAAAAAAAACTATTTCCTGTTCTTTTATAAATTTTGTTATTGTTAGATTCCAACTCTTAGCAACTCTATGCACAACAGCAGGAAATACTGCTCGGTCCTGAACCATCCTCACAACTGTGACATTTGAGCCCACTGCTGCTGCCACTGTGTCAACTCATCTCCTTGGGGGTCCTTCCTCTTTTTCATGGACCCTCCACTTTACCAAGTATGATGTCCTTCTCCAGGGACTGGTCCCTCCTAATAACATATTCAAAGTATGAGAGATGAAGTTTTGCCGTACTGTCTTCTAAGTAGTATTGTGACTGTACTTCTTCCAACACAGATTTGTCAGGGTACTTTTAATATTCTAGTACTAGCATAGTGGATTACGCATGGTCAGCAGTTCAAATACACCAGCTATTAGAGGGAGAAAGATGAGGCTTTCTGTTTCCATACAAGTTTACAGCCTGCTAACAGTTTTGTATAAACAGAATAAAAAATAAAATAGAATGTATCAATCTATGTATCAGAGATATATAAACACACACCCCACCCCTAAATTTCACAGGTTCGCTATGAATCGGAACCTACTTGATAGCATGCAGCATGCTTTATAAATAGTTCACATTTATTGGATATCAGAAAATAGATATATTAGGAATAGTAATAGATATAATTAAACAGATTGTTGTTAAGTACTGTGGAGGTGGTTCCAACTCATAGCGACCCTGTATAGAGTTTCTGAGGCTTTAAATCTTTGCAAGAGCAGAAAGTCTCATCTTTCTCCCACAATTTAACAGATAATAGATACAAAAATTAGAAAATTCTATACAGGCTTAGCATGAAATCTCTGCTAACAGCTTTGTATAAATAGAATTTAAAAATGAAGAAATGGGATGTACCAATCTGTATCAGAAATAAGAAACCTAAGTTTCTTTAAGTTACCTAAGTTATAACTTAGCTATTATCATAAATTCTGTACATTTTACCCCATCATAAATTCTGATGTTCACCGTACATATTCCATTATATAAGGATGTACTAATAATGTAACCAACTCCTTTTTGTTAAGCATAGTTTTTCAGTTGCTTATCAATTGTAAATAGTACTGCAATGAACTTTTGAATAAACAGTTCAATTATTTCCTTCGGATAAAGTTCCATAAGTAGAATTACTTAAGTAGGAGTTATGTATTTATTTGAAAAGTCTAATAAGTGTATTTCCCAGTGTGCTTAATTAATTTATACATATTCATATTTCTACTAGCACTCTGTGGAAGAACCCGCCTCCCCAGACCCATGGTAAGTTTATTTCCTGTTTGCTCATGTGAAAGGTAAATATTCATTCTGAAGTTACTTACTCATGTTTCATTCTGAATCACCGATTATAGCATTAGTGATTAGTTTGTTTTATATTGATCTGGCTATTTAGATTTCTTTTATGAATTGCCTATTTGTGTCCTTTAGCCACTTCCTGTTGGGATGGTTATCATAGTGATAAACTTTAATGTAATGTGACTGTCATAGACACTATATATTTCCAACTTGTTGCTTGAATTTCAATTTTATAGTTTTCTTCATTTGTATCAAACTTATTGCTTCTTTAAATACTAAAGGTTTACTTTCCTCCAAGGGAGAATTTTCAATATTGTCAAAAATTCCTGTCTGAGTTAATTCTTCGTGGTCATGCTACTTTTAGTTGGATATATTGATCAGCAACTCTGAATCAGAAGCAATCTTGGCCTCCAGGGGTTACATGGTAAGGCCTGGGGACATTCTGATTGTAAAGACTGTGGGGTGCTATTCACATCTAGTGGGGAGAGGCCCAGCATGTCTAATTTTATCATAAGGGAACTCTGGTAGCTTAGCGGTTATGAATCGGGCGGGCTGCGAACCTCAGGGTCAGCAGTTCAAAACTATAAGCTGTTCTGCGGGAGAAAGATGAGGCTTTTTGCTCCCGTAAAGATTTATAGCCTCCAAAACCTTGTACAGGGTTACTATGAGTCGGAACCGACTCCATGGCACATAACAACAACAAAAATTTTATCATATACACTAAATTTATTTATATATATTCACAAACTCAAATATATCTGTTTGGAGGCCATTTACCTGAGTGACTTTTCTCTTTTTCACTTATACTTACAACGTTTTATGACTGTGTGTTTGTTTTACATTTTCAGATCTGATAACAACAATCTTCAATTGAGGCTATTCTGACTTAAAGGTTTTGAATGGCAACAAACAACAGCAAAAGTGAAATGACAGACAGAAACAAAGTATTTATAACATGTACTACATACAAAGGAGCTCTGAGCTGGTAGCATAGTGGTTACGAATCGGACTGCGAACCACAAGGTCAGCAGTTCGAAACTATCAGCTGCTCCGCAGGAGAAAGATGAGGCTTTCTGCTCCCATGAAGATTTATAGCCTCGGAAACCCTGTGCAAGGTTGCTATGGGTCGGAACTGACTCGACGGCACTTAACAACAACAACAACTACATACAAAAAGCTGATATGTCTGATGCATAAGCAACTTCTAAAACACGAGGACCAAAATTCTTAAGCAAAAATTGGCAACAGACATGAAAAACCGCTTCACTAAAAAAAGGTGCATGACGGCTTTCAAACCTATAAAAAGATGTTTAATTTCATTCATAGTAAGAGGATTGTAAAGTAAAACTACACTGAGATACCAACCACTGCACCAAGCAGGTTGGAAAAAGTTCCAAGCCTTGACAATGCACTCTGTTGGTTAGGCTATGGTCAAGTGTCTACTCTTGGTGGGGATGGGAAATTAAACCACCTTTTCGGAGGGTTACCTGGCAACATCTTCCTACAAGTACCTTTCTCTCCTACCCACCAATTCACTTCTAGGAATCTACCCTGGAGACATCCTTTCAACAATACAGAAATATGCATGGTCCAAGCTTATTCACTGAGGTATTGTTTAGATTTGGAAAAATTTGAAAATGCTCAAAATGCCCAAATGTATGACAGTGATTGAATAAACTACAGTACATAGATATAATGATACTATGTGAAAAGTATGATGATTTAGTGAATCGATATGGAGTAAACTACACATGATCTATTATAAAGTGAAAAGGGCAAAGTGGAAGACTTTACACAGTATTCTACCTAACAAGGTAATATACTGTAAGAAAGAAGGGAAAACTTGCATATAACTTTCTGCTTACTTTGGTAGAACAAACAAACATAGCGAATATAAACCAGAAAACAAAGTGTTACTTTCAATAGGCAGGGGTGAGAGGAAGCAGGTGGAGGGTCCCATGCAGAGAATATTTCCTTGACGTTTTGGAAGCAGGCTAATGTTTGAGTTTAATAAAAAATTAAACAACAACCTTAAAACTGAATAAAAATGGTAGCAAATCAATCCAATTGTACTTCAGATGAATTGAATAAGCACACTAGGGACTGAGCAAGACTCCAACTAGCTTTGGAACACAGTATTTTGACTACATGTTATCTAAAGTAGGGGAAAAACAACAAATACGAAGGAGCTTAAAAAAGTTCGTGGAAAAATTGCATTATCTTCCAATTCCATCTTTCCACGAACTTAAAACAATTTTTTATTATGAATTAACTGAAGGCTTGCAGAGCAGATCATCAAAGTTTACATTCCATAAATCATACACACTGTTTCATCCCACTGACTGCAATCCCTTAACCTAGTATCACTTATTTCACTTCCTCCCTGTGATCTGTGATTCTTGTTTCCATTCCTCCTTTTCCAACCCTTCAGAACTTTGTCCTCAGGTAAACACTGTCCTTTTGATTGTGAATGGTTACTCATTCTATGGTGTGCATTCCTCACTAGTGTTGTTGTACCCTACATAATTCTGTATTGCTTGGCTGAGTATATAACTCACCACAGGGGTGAA